TATATTTATATAGTATATATATATGTGTGTGTGATATGGAAGAAATAGTATATAGTGTAATTTTCTATGGTTTTAAAATTTTTGGAGAAGATACCAAACCCTGTCTAACCTTTTATAACTTACTCATATTTCTCTACTGCTCTGTGAATTAGGGACTGTGTCTTGTTTGTATTCCTGTGATCTGGCAGTTTAGTGGTCCTCAGTAAATGATGCGTGATGAGCCAACTTTATAAGAGCCTAAGGTGGGGAAATCACTTCTGTTATGTTCTTGCATCATCATAATAAAGAAACAGCCCCCAAAAGTGGATTTTAGCTTATTTTATATACATCTCTAAACATTATTTTATAATTCTAAGCAGAGTTTCTTTTGTTTTAGCTCATTTTGTGTTTTATTTTTACATGGGCAGAAAGGCCTTCAAATTACCACAAAGAGTAAGCTATAATATATCGTGTCAGGTTTGACTGTAATTACATTGATCATTGGATATGAGAGTATTCTAAATCAGTTATTCACATGTATCAGCTTTTAGGAGAGGTACTTGATTTATCTCAAGGAGAACATCCATAACTTTCACCCTTTTTATCTGGAGTGTTTTAAGGATGTTTATAAAATATGGACAAATCACAATCAGTAACAACAATAAAAAGAAAAAGATTTAAGGGACTTTGGATAGTCGTAGTCACTTACATTTAGAATTTGTTCACTCAGTGTCCCAGAAATTCACACAGATTAAGAAGGAAAGCAAATAAAATTACATGTAACCCTTACTTTAGCCTTATTAAGAGAAAGAGAATACAATTATGTACCACATAGCAAGATCTTGGCCAATAATGAACCATATGTACTACAGTGATCTCATAAGATTATAAGGGAGCTGAAAAATTCCTATCTAGTTATATCACAGACATTGTTACATGGTAGTGCAATGCATTACTCATATGTTTGTGATGATGTTAATGTAAACCTGTACTGCCAGTAGTATAAAAGTACAACCATAAAATTATGTACAGTATATAATACTCTCCTAAGATACCTAATATCAAGGATATGTTCTGAGAAATGTATGGTTAGGCAATTTTACTGTTGCACAAGGATCAGAGTATGGTACTTACACAAGCCAAGACAGCCACCATGTCACTAGGCAATATAATCTTATAGTACCATTGTCATACGTGTGGTCCATGTTTGGGCAAAACATTGTTGTGTGACACAAGGCTGTATTCATTATTGATAACAAATACTATATTACTTATTTATATACTATATACCTTATTGAGTATACACCTTCTAAATGCATATGTACAAAAGTTAATTATAAAATAGCCTCATGCAGATCTTTCAGCTGGATTCCATGAGAAAGCCTTGTTAGCATAGGAGATGACAGCTCCATGTATGTTATTGCCCTTGAAGACCATGGATAAAAAGTGGAGGTGAAAGACATTGATACTATGATCTCAATCCTCCGTGAGCCTTTATGGATTTGTGTGTTTGTGTCTTTATTTTTAACAAAAGTTTAAAAAGTAAAAAAAGAACCACATATGTAGTGGCACACATCTGTAATCTCAGCACTCTAGGTAGAGGCAGGAGGATCACAAATTCAAACCCAGCCTGGGCAGCTTAGCAACTAGTGAAAACTTACCTCAGAGTAATAAAAAGGGCTGAGGATGTAGCTCAGTGTGCAGTCCCTGGGTTTGATCCCCAGTGCAACTAAAGAAATATATCAAGAAATGTGTTAAAATAGAAAAAGTTTATAAAGATACAAAAAAATTTATATATATATGTATAATATGTTTGTATTTTAAGCTAAATGTTATTATAATAGACTTCAAAATTTTAAAAAATGTTTAAAGTTTATAAAGTAAAAAAAATTAGGTAAATTATTGAACAAAGAAAAATATTTTCTATAAATTTAGTATCACCAAAGTGTATACTGTCTATAAAGTCATGTCCTCTGCCTTCGCATTTAACGTTTGCTCACTACATGTTATTCACCCAGAGCAATGGTAGGATCCGTTGATGAGTTTATCCTTTTTGTCTTTTTTTCCGTCTGGTATTGAGGATTGAACTCAGGATCTTGTGGATGCTTTTTTTTTTTTTTTTGGTCTTTTTGAGACAGGGTCTTGCTGTGCAGTTCAGACGGGCCTTGAGCTCACTTTGTAGCCCAGGCTGGTCTTGAACTCGCAACGATCCTCCTTCCTCAGCCTCCCGAGTACTGGCATTACAGGCGTGCGCCACCACACCCAGCTTGGGGATGCTTTTTAAAAATCTTTTATATTGTATTTCTATAGCCTAGGCATATAGTAGGCTGTATTACTGAGTTTTGTGTAAGTATACTCTGTGATGTCTAAATAATACATTTCTCAGAACATGTCTCTTTTTTAAGCAACATATTATTGTATTGATGAACTTCAATTTTTTTAAAGAAGGAGATAAACACCAAGTTCCAGTAGAACTATCTGGTGTTTCAGACTTAGGGAAGTTTAGAAACCTGGAAAATAGGATAGAAGAATTGAGGATCTAAGTCTGACAAAAACACCAAGAGAAAGGAATGTCTGACAGTAAATGCAAAGTCTATAAAGAAAGCTAAGATCTGGCAGAGATCACAGTACTTATTAAAGGTAAAGGACTTAAAAGTGTACAAGATCTTCAGTGGCAGTTTGAGAAAGGCATCTGTTCTAGGGAAGAGATGAATAGAAAGGAAGCATCCTGTGGAGTCATGTTAGTGAAGGGAAGGAAGGAAGTTACAGGAGAGAATTAAAGTTCCTTCTAAAACAGAATTGCAAGGAGTTATACAGTTCAGTGGTAGAATACTTGCCTAGCATATGCAAGGCTCTAGGTTTAATCCCCAGCATCAGAAAAAAAGGGATAAACACATAGACCTCTCTTTTCTCTCAAAAATAAAAATTACACATGTGTAATTTTTTACACACATACACACACACATAAAACTTTAGTATTCTGACAGAAGGGGGCAGTCTTGAACTAGGAATCTTGTTTTAAAGAAACTATAAAATGGACCTGCTACTGAAAAACTTTACCATGTGAAATGCACCTCCCTCCCACAAAAAAAAGTATTTCCATTAAAAAAATCTCTGTTAAAGGAAAACAGTGGGATCTTTAAACAGTGTTCATCTAACAGAGGTTCTTCCCCCATAAATAACTATAAAACAGGAGACCTTAGCAAAATCTTAATTCAAGCAAATGCCTGAAAGAAATCAATCAAAAAGTTAAAAACTAGAATACATGTGGATTGACATCCTCAAGATGATAGAATAAAAGATCATTCTGACATATTCCTCTACAACACAAGAATTCTGCATCCAAACATAAACAAAAAGCCTATTTGTGGGAGACTCAGGATTCAATATGGAACTTGCAGAATGCTGGTGGAGCCCAAGACCTAGGAGGATCATTTTAAGAATGCACATGCTGTACTCTAGTAATGGTAGGGTAGGGTATCTTTAGTATGAAGGGTAAAAGACAAAACCATTAAAATAATAATTATTAAAGTAGTATTAATTACATAAATCATAAACATAAATTATGATATCAAAATTTAAAACAGAACAGGAAGAGTTAAAGTATCAAGGGTTTTTTTTGTTCAAGGGTTTTTTGGTTGTTTCTATTTATTCCATCAAACTTCAGTGTTTATCTTGTTTATATATACCTGGTATAGCTATAAGATGTTCTTGGTAAGCCTCATGGTAACTGCAAAGTAAAAACCTATAATTAATACGTTAAAATTTAATAAGGAATCAAAACACTAAAGAAAAATCACTGTGTTAAAAATTATAGGAGAAGAAAGAATATATGAGAAAATATAACAAAATGCAACAATAAATCCATACTTGTCAATAATGACCTTAAATACAAATGAATTAAATTATACAGTTAAAAGACATAGACTAAATCAAAGATATCACATTACAGTAATATATGAATACCCATGTTTATAACAGCACAACTCATAATAGCTAAATCTTAGAAGTGGCCTAAATGTCCATCAGCATATGAGTGGATAAACAAAAAAACAGTGTTTATACAGAATGGAGTACTGCTGTACCATTAAGGAGGGTAAACTTGAATCCTTTGTAGGGAAATAGATGGCCCCTTGAGACCATAATGATATAGGGGAAAAAAAACTCCCAACCTGAAAGGTATCTGGGATGAGTTCATGTTCTCTAAAATCGAAGAATGAATTTT